TGTTCGAATTTTGGATTTTTTGAACATTGAATTTTTGAATTTTTTAGTTTTTGAATTTTTGAATTTTCAAGAATTTCATATTTTCTGAAAATCTACAGCAATCCACCAAACTCACCCCATAACTGAATCCATTATGTGCTCTCACATTGCAAATAGAACACATTTCACTCCGACGACCTGCCGGAACAACCTCCATTTTTGAAGAATTTTGGATTTTCAGATTATTAGAATTATAAGAAATATCGAGGGAACACAAATCAGAATAAATTTGGACAGAATGAGGGCACAAAAATGGAATTCATCCCTTTTATCATCAAAAATAACAATTTGGCGCCGCCCATTTTTACCAGAGATCAAGAATAAAAAATTGGCGAGATTTAGGATAATTTTGGTTTTTTGGACTTACTTGAAAGGGCGAAAATAGAAATGAGATTAGGGGGCAAATAGAAGAATGGACTTTTGAAAGTTTTTATGGAAAAGGAACATTTTGGGAATTTCAAAATTTTGAAAAGTCTGAAAAATTGAAAAATCAAAAGAACCTTCTAAATTATTCAACAAGAATTTCAACGAAAAATTCGAAGAAAAAAAATTCCGAAATTTAGAAATTAAAAAAATATATCGGAAATTCATATTCTGGCTCGTTTATATATTCGAAAACAGAAAGAAAAAAGATTCTAATCTCAAAATATATGTAGATTAATTTGAAAGTACGGGAGCACTGAAAGATTAACAAGAGAGCTCTTCCTAATCAGGTTTCAGCTGTCCGGCGCTCTCTATGGCGTCTCTAATCTCTTTTTCATTTTTAAATGAAATTTGGAATTTGCAGAATTCCTTCTTGTTCTTTGCCTCTTAGAGTCATATGTCTAGACTAGGAGCACCTAATTTACTCAATTTTTTGGGTAATTACAGAAATTATCCTCCGTTTTTTTCACAGAAATAGATTTTGAAAATAATAGAATCATGCCAACAAAGTATAAAAATTCGATGAAAGATGAAATGACACAAAGGGGACTCGAACCGAACTTTCAGAATTTCAGGGACTTCTAGGAATCTCGAAAAAGTCAAAGCCAACACAGAGAGCTCATAGGAGTAAGACCATTTTTATTTTGATCGTTTTGATCTTTTTCCTATTTTTTCCCCAGGTGATATCTGATTAAATAACACTAAATTGGGGGTGATTTGATGCGTTGGGTGGATTACAAAGTGCAAAGTTCAAATATCGAAACTGGCTTCATTAGTGTCTGGAAAGAACAAAATATGAAAAGAAAGGAAGGAAGGGAAATATATATATATATATCTTGAGGTATTTGCGGAAAATACTAAAGTTTGAAAATTGAAAACTTTTAGAAACATCAAAAAAATAGAAAAATTCAAAACCGATAGTCCAAAAACGAGCGAAATTGCTCATGTTTAACGGAAGTGATGCGCCTTTCAAGTTAAGCACGCAGAGCGTGTACAAAGCGAGGAGGGTGCAGACACGCAGAGTGATCTAGCTTCTCTGCGTCTCTCCTTGTGTTTTACGGCGCACACTAAAAACCGTCATAACTTTGTTCAAAATGGTCTGAAATGAATTTTTGACTGTTGGATTTGAAATGTTAAGTTCTACTGGATGAAGTAAAGATAGTCAAATAAAATTATTTTTTAAATTTTCAAAAATGCGCAGTCCGGAAATTCGTGGTTGCGAAAATTCGATTCTGTTAAAAATGATTATTTTTTTTGAATTTGAAAAACATAAATCCCTCTAGTTTCATAACTTTCTGTACCCTTAAAATTACACATCTCGATTTTTTTTCGCATACTAAAGAGAGTCTTGTTATTCCGACAAAAACAGGTATGTAGGTGTAGAAAAATATTTTTTGGTAAAATACAAAAAATAATAATTTATAAAGAAAAAATCTCATTGTCTGTAGTACGATTTCTAAGAAAGTTATTAGATTTTTTCGCCGAAAATTTTTCATTCCACATTTTTATTGCTATTCGAAAAAGCTAATTGAAATGTGGTCCCAAATTTTGCGATGCACACAGCAAACGCTTGGAACTGTGGCATTTTTCACTAATTTTTTACTGATATGGCTGATTATGATGAAATCGCCAAAAGCCATGTACACCTACAAACATATTATGGTTTTTACTTCGGTTTTCGAGATCTTCTACGCTTGGATTGATATGTTTGTGGCACCGGTAAGGCTAGGAGGGAAATTGAATTTTCGAAAAAAAGAATTGAGTTTTTTTTTTTGAATTTCATAATTTTTTAGATTTTCGGAATTCTTAAACGAAAATAGGATTTACTATAAAAACCAGTTTTATGTATAACTTCAAATCCAACAGTCAAAAATCATCTCAAGCGGACCATTTTGAACAAAGTTCTGATGGTTTTAAGTTGGAGCAGCGAAACACCACGTGAAAGGGGGAGACGCAGAGAAGCGTGAACACTCTGCGTGTCTGAGCACTCCTCTCTCTCTACGCTCTCAGCTTCAAAGGCGCATAACTTCCGTTAAACTTAACCGATTTCACCCATTTTTTGACTACTGGAATTTAAATTTTGTCTAGTTTTTTTTAAAGTTTATTTTTTAAATTTTCTGAAACTTAATTTTCCAGGAACTAATCACCAAAAGAACATACTGGATCGCTGAAACGGATACAACTAAAACCTGGCTACCATTATCGATTGTTTATCCATTGTTGTGTAAGTTTTTGGTTTGGCGGGAAAATCAAAATTTTGAAAACTAATTTTTTAGTGGCTTGGGGAGGCTCATTTGGAATCGCCTTGGCCAGTTTTATCGTTCATTTCATGTTCAGATATTTCACAATTATTGGGTAAAGAAAAAAGTTTTAAGAAAAAAAAGTTGCATTTTCAGAAATAAATTTTTGTTGTCTCAAAAGAATTTTATGGTCTACATTTGGCTGAGTATTCCAGTAATTTGTGGATTTTTCTATGCACTTTTGACACATATTTTTCTACAGCAAAATGAGATAATGGATACACTGATATGGTAGTTTTTCGAAAAAAAAATTTCCCCATTTTTTATTTTCGCAAAACATTTTACAGCACAGACATTGAAAGTCTCCGAAATGTTCCGAAAAATGAGATGGTATATTATGGATTCAGCTTATATTCAACACTTCCGAATCAGGAAATTCAGGAGATCAATTGGAAACATATCAATGGAATTTCATTCATTGGAACTTGTATTGTGAGTTTTGGAATTTTGGAAATTTCAGAAAATTCAGAAAATTGAAAATTCTCAAGTTTTAGAGAATTCAGAAATCCAGGAACTCTAGAAATACAGCGGGGAAAAATGTTAACGAATTATTCAAACATTTGAAAATGCAGAAGTTCAGAATTTTCACGAAAATTCAAAATATTTGGACACTGAAAGTAACGTAACAATTTTTTCTGAAAATTCGATTTTTGGAAAACTTTGAATTTCTGGAATTCTAAAATTCGAACGTTCAGAAATTCAGAAATTCAGAAATTCAGAAATTCAGAAATTCAAACATTCGAAAAATTCAAACTTTTAGAAATTCAGAAATTCAGAAATTCCAAAAACCCGAAAACCCGAAAATCAGAAATTCAGAAATTCAGAAATTCAGAAATTCAGAAATTCAGAAATTCAGAAATCCAGAAATTCAGAAATTCAGAAATTCAGAAATTCAGAAATTCAGAAATTCAGAAATTCAGAAATTCAGAAATTCAGAAATTCAGAAATTCAGAAATTCAGAAATTCAGAAATTCAGAAATTCAGAAATTCAGAAATTCAGAAATTCAGAAATTCAGAAATTCAGAAATTCAGAAATTCAGAAATTCAGAAATTCAGAAATTCAGAAATTCAGAAATTCAGAAATTCAGAAATTCCACAAATTCGAAAAATTGGGGGAGCATAACTTGTCAATAGAAAAATGTGCGATTCCGAGAAATGCAGGAACAAAATCCAGAAACGAGAAGCTTCAGGGAAATCCTAAATTTAAAAATATTCCTCTTTATTTATGAATATTCCAAAATTACTAAAAAAAAATCTAAACTTCTGATTTTTCGAACTTCTGAAATTGATTCTAAATTTCCAGACATTTTCCTTCTTCACCATGACGATTTTCGCTATCAAAGGCTACTCAGCAATTCGAAAGTTTCAAGGAACCCACACAAACTTATCCAGTCTCTCGAAATCTCTCCAAACCCAATTATTCTACTCATTGGTCATACAAACTGCAATTCCGACAATTCTCATTCATTTCCCGTCTACAGTAATCCTCATTCGCTCATTTATGGGCACAACTGAAGAGATCTACGGTCACATTTTTACAATTTCCGTTTCCCTATTTCCTGTTATCGACCCACTTCCCAGTATGATTATTATACAACCCTATAGAAAAGCAATTAAAAGTAAGATTACGTTAAGATGACTTTAAAAATTATTTTTCAAATTTTCAGCATGCTTCAGATTGTCTAAAGGTCAAAATTCAACAATAGCATCGTCTTATGTTGGCTCTAGAACTACCACTTTTTGAAAAAAAAATTTTATATTTTTGTGGACTTTTTAAGAATGAAGAGCAGCTCAAACGGATAATTTTGACCAGAGTTATGCGCATTTTCAACAAAAAGAGACGCAAAAAAGCTAGACACTCTATTTGTCTGCACCCTCCTCTCCTGCCACACTCTCTCCATCACTTCAACTTCAAAGGCCCATAACTACGGTTAGAATCAACGGATTTGACTCGTTTTTTGACTATTGGTTTTAATATTTTCTATATTTTTTGGTGAATTAGAAAAATAATTACAAAAAAATAGTTTTTTTTTCAGAAAAATGTTGTAGATTTTTTTCTGTGCCTCACAAAAGCAAAAAGCAAAAAATTCTGAATCCAATAGTGAAAAAACGAGCTCAAGCGGACCATTTTGACCAGAGTTATGCGCGTTTTCAACAAAGAGAGACGCAGAGAAGCTAGAACACTCTATTTGTCTGCACCCTCCTCTCCTGCCACACTCTCTCCATCACTTCAACTTCAAAGGCCCATAACTACGGATAGAATCAACGGATTTGACTCGTTTTTTGACTATTGTTTTTCAAATTTTCTCTATTTTTCTATAAACCAAAAAAGATATTTTGACAAAAAAAATTTATTAAGGATTTTTCAATTCATCACTGCTCGACTTATCACATTGGAGAACTTTGTTGTATCCGGCTCCACCGCCCTTCTCGGCCTCCAGAAAAATACAGAATCTGAAAATTTCCGCTTATTTAAATATTAAAAATCAATTGCTCACCTCTAATTGCCTCACGATATGGCTTAATTATAACCATACTTGGTAATGGGTCAATTAACGGGAATAAGGATATTGTCATAGTTATAAAATCCCCGAAAAATGGTCTTCCCTCTCCAAAAAACGCGGCCAAAACGATTACGGTAGTTGGGAAATGGATAAGAATCATTGGGATTATGGTTTGAACCAATAAAGAATAATACAATTGTTTTTGAAGAGTCTGAGCAATGGAAGACAGATTTTCAGCAGATTTTGTTAAATTTCGAATCGCTTTGTGCACTTTTACAGCAAAATATATCATTGTGAAGAGAGAAAAAGTCTGAAAAAATTAAATAATTCAAAAAATTTATCTGCAACTTTGGAAATTTTAGAAATGTAGATTTTTTGGAATTTTTAAATTTTGGAATATTCAGAATATTCTGAATTTTAGTGTTCTGAAACTTTTGAAACTTACCACCACAGCAGACAAAATTAGAACTGCATAGAGGTTTCTAGAATTGATTTCTGGAATTTCAGAATTTTCAGGAAATGTGTATAGGCTGAAGCCGTAATACTGCATTTCAGTGATAGGAAGATGTTTGAGGAAATCGATTTTGGATCTGAATTTTTTAAAAGAATTTTTTTAATTTCAAATTCCCGCCCCTACCTCACTAATCTTTCCAAATTCTCATCAAAACTCAAAAACAGATGAATCGTGAATGCATAAATTGAACCCGATATAACTGGAATACTGAACCAAATCGAAACCATTAAATATCCGGAAACCCATTTTCGAATACTGTAACATAAAATAGGCTGAGCAATTTTTTAAACCAAACATACCCAATGACCATAAAATATCGAAAAATGAAGTGTATTCCGAAACAAGCAACGGCAATTCCATAAGCAGCTCCCCAGAATACTGAAGTGTTAGATTTTTATATAGCATTGCTACTTTTTGAAAAAGCGAAAAATTCTAAATCCAATAGTCCAAAAATGAGCTCAAACGACGGACCATTTTGAACAAAGTTATGCGCGTTGTCAAAAGTATGGTAACACACTTTTCGTACGAGGTGTTGGGCGCAGGAGATTTTTTCGAACAAAAAATGTATACACATTATTTTCAGCATGTCTTAATTACCTTATTTCCAAAATTTCAAGTCACTGGGTTGGTTTTGACGGGAATGGTGATTAATTCTATGCACCAACATCGTCGAGATAGCCGAGACGGGGGTTGGCCTAAGTAACATCGGAAAAGCTCCCGGAATCTCACAAAAAATAGTGTGGGGGACCATCAAACGTTGTGATTAGTTGAGTACGGTCAAGAACTGTCTAAAAAACGTAAAATCTTGAACTTTGATTATTCCGGAGAAAAACAATGCCGTCAGAGAATGAATTGGTCAAAATCCGTACCAAATCATGGAAATAAAGAGTCTGGAGCTCTGAATGAGCATTAAATCAGTCAGATGAATCGTCAAAAGTGAGCTGGGACTGACCCCATATTGTGTTCAAAAGGCTAGAATTCTGTCGAGAACAAAAGATCTGGTACGCATCCAGAAGTCCAAATCAAAATCTGCTGGCACGCGCCAAAATGAACACATGGAAAGGCCTTTTGCCGACTAGAATCACTTTACGGTGGAAAGCAAATTCCAATCAAACAATCATCTAATTTTTGCCTCGACATCTGAGCTAGCTAATAAACACGGTATGATGATCAACCGAGCTTCATATCCTCAGAACGTCATCGTTTTTGGTGTAACACTTTCCGAATTCTAATTTAAGTAGATTTTGGGGTGAAAATCAACAAAAAGGACTATTAGAAGGGAATTTTTCGGAGGCGTGTGCTTCCGTAAACCCACTCTCATTTTAAAAACCATGTTTGGACTGTTCATACGGATTCTGCTCCCGCTCACACGGCGAAAACCGTTCAACCAGGTTGCACGACCAACTTTTCAAGATTCAGCATGACTTGCAAACTGTCAGCCACGTCGGCAGACATGAATCTGCTGGACTATTCCGTATATGGAATTTTTCTGTCAAGAGTCCGAACACGTCCATCGCGTCGAACAACTTTTATAATTTCATTTGTAGAAAGTATTCAGCAAACAATTTTCAAGTTTTCAAGTCTATTCGAGTATTTTCGGAAAATTTACAGCACTTTGAATGTGTTACCATACTTTTGGCGCACCCTGTAAAGAGAGACGCAGAGAAGCTAGACTTGTCTGCGCCCTCCTCTCCTCCCACACTCTCTGCACTCTCGGCTTTGAAGACGCATTACTACTGTCAAACTTTACGGATATCACTCGTGTTTTCATTGTTAACTATTTTTAGAAAGTCAAATTTAAAAAATAGAGATTTCGAAAAAAATCGTCACTTTTTGAAGAAAATTTTTTTAATGATTTTTTTGTGTCTTTTAAAAATTAAAAAAAACTAAAAATTCTAAATCCAATAGTCCAAAAATGAGCTCAAATCGACTTGAATAAAGTTATGCGCATTTTGCACAAAAAGAGACGCAGAGAAGCTAGACACTCTGCTTGTCTGCGCCCTCCTCTCCTCCCGCACTTTTTAAGTTTTGAAACTCACAAATCAACGGATAAACAACATCTAATGATATCCTGGATCTCTCAAAATTCGTCCCAACAATCCAGAAGTTTTCAGAAGAAATAACATGGGGTTTAATGAGAAAATCAATAATCGAATAGGCCAATTCAGAAATTGACATTAAAATCATCAAATATTTATATGCGCCAAGAGATTTTGGAGACTTTGACACAATTAAAATTATCATAACTACGTTAATTAGGAAGGAGATAATTGCAATTATTTGTTGGGAGAAATCGAGGGAGTCCATTTAGTATATTCGTATAGAGTCAGAAGATGATGATAAGAAAATAATACGAAAACCAATTTTTTGTATTTTCCGGTTAGCTGGCTCTGTCTGGTCATGTGTGTTAGTTTATGACCAAATGAGTAACGAAAAAAGGAAGTTCTCAAAATGATCTCATTTTTGTTCAGAGATCAAAACATCTATCGAAAACTATCGTTAATTTCTCAAAAAATGTTCAGATTTTTTTCAAAATTTGTAACCTGACGTTTTAAATCATTTCGAATGGATCATTTTGCATCAATGACAGTTTAGAACTGACAGTTTCGTAACTACATCGTTTTAGAACCGCGACGTTTCCGCATCGTGATGTTTCAGAAACGTGAGCTTCCGGAACCGGGTCATTTTAAAATTGCGGCGTTTCAAAACCGCGACATTTTGAAACAATGCTGTTTTAGAACCACGGCATTTTAGGACCACGACATTTTAGAACCGCGACGTTTTGGAACTGCGACATTTTAGAACTGCGACGTTTTAGAACTGACCATTTCAGAACTACGGCGTTTCAAAACCGCGACATTTTGAAACAATGCTGTTTTAGAACCACGGCATTTTAGGACCACGACATTTTAGAACCGCGGCGTTTTGGAACTGCGACATTTTAGAACCGCGACATTTTAGAACCACAAAATTTTAGAACCGCGACGTTTTAGAACTGACCATTTCAGAACTACGACGTTTTAGAACTGCAATTTCAAACCGCGACATTTTAGAACCGCGACGTTTCAGAACTGCGACGTTTTGGAACCGCGACATTTTAGAGCCGCGACGTTTCAAAACTTCGACGTTTTAGAACTGACCATTTCAGAACTACGGCGTTTCAGAACCGCGACGTTTCAGAACTGCGCCATTTTAGAACCTCGACATTTTAGAACCGCGACATTTTAGAACCGCGACATTTTAGAACAGCGACATTTAACAACCGCGACATTTTAGAACTGCGACGTTTTAGGACTAACCATTTCAGAAATACGACGTTTTAGAACTGCAATTTCAAACCGCGACATTTTAGAACCGCGACGTTTCAGAACTGCGACGTTTTGGAACCGCGAAATTTTAGAACCGTGACGTTTCAAAATTCGACGTTTTAGAACTGACCATTTCAGAACTACGGCGTTTCAGAATTCAAAAATCTCAAATTTCTTTAAAAATGGTAAGTTTTCCAGAAAATTCTGATTTATTCTTTTTCAGAAAAATATGTCTACACCATGTTTCAGTTCAAGAGCTCGAGAATGTTAGGGAGAAACGTTATACACGAAAAAAAAACTTTAAATATCGAGATGCGAAAGTGACCAAAGGGGGAGAATGAGAAACAAAATAGAGCAAGTGGCATGAGCAAAACTTTGACTCAATTTATCACGCTTCCTTTGACAGATACCAAAAAGATGTCAACTGATAAAATGTAGCTGATATTCTGATGCACATTTTCCTAATTGACAAATGTTTGATATCATAATAAGGAGATGAGATAAATAAGTTCAAAGTTGACGGTTGAGAGGACTTGTATTCACGGTGAATGGTGAATTCACAGGGAAAAATTGAAGGAGACAGTCAAAGTTCAGAAACATATTTCATGAGGGGGACAACGGTCGCTTTAAAAAAACAAGCTGAGATAAAATTAGTAGCATTTAGTTTTCAAGTGCTTGAGCCTTGAAAATGGGCTTCCCTCCGTCCAAATAGAATATTTCGAGAACTCGGTGAGCGAAGAAGACGCCAGCTTCTGGATACCTATGGAAGTTCTGAAGCCATTTGTGATGAACCTTGGTAACAACAGACACCACGATCGCTTCCTCCTTCAGACGTTCCTTGTCAGCTGGGGATAGGGAGTTACGGTGGTTTTCAATTTCCTGAAAAATGAAATTTTAGTCTTGATTCGTTTGAGCCAAGCTGAATTCAATTCCAATAAGAGATATCAAAAATGTGTCAACTGATAAAATGTTGCTGATATTGTGATGTACATTTTGGCAGTTAACAACTTTTTAATTACTCCCACGGGAGCTGAGATACAGTACCCTAAAAATCGTAAATTGTCTTTTTCAGTGGAAAGTTTTCAGAGGAAGGATAAACCGCGATAAACCATGTACTAGAAGGCCCCCTACACAGTCGATTTTCAACTCATTTATCTCAATTCCTATGAAAGATATCAAAACTTTTTAACTGATAAAATGTAGCTGATATTATGATAAACATTTTGACAGTTGACCAATTTTCGTCGATATCTCTTACAGGAAATGAGTTATATGTTCCCAAAGTTGATGGTGGTCTATGATAGCTTGAGGATTCAAAAACTTTAGGCTTCCGAAGACGTTCAAGTTTAGGGCACTAAACCTAGACATTCAAATTTCTAGACCCTTCAAGATGGGCAAGCTTAAGACAATCATCGGCCAACCATACCTCGAGGATTGTTTTGGCGACCAAGGGATAGATTTCCACTCTTCCCAATTCCATATCCCAAAAATGAGCGGTCTTGGAGAGATAGGCGAATCTTGAAGTCCATTCTTTTGAGGCATTTTCAGGATTCTCCAATTCTTCATGGTTGAATAGGAAGCTTGCATCCATCTGAAACAAAAAAATCATTGACAATCTTGAGAATCAACATAACTACAGTACCCATCAATTGTCATAAAGCCTAAGAACCACCAAGGTTGAGCTCAGTTATCTCAACTCTTATGCAAGATATCACAAATGTGTGCACTGATTAAACGTTGGTGATATCATGATAAACAATTTATCAGTTGACAACTCTTTTATATCTCTGATAGGAAGTGAGATAATTGAGCTCAAAGTTGTTTACAGGTTTCACGGTGATTAGCGTAATAGCTAAATGGATCCCCAAATTTTAGGTTACGGTAGTTTAGAGAAAGCTGCTTACCTCTAAAACGCCGCTATCAGTTCTCGTAAGTTTCTGATTTGCGACTACTTCCACTTTGCTGGCCGTGTAATTTAGAATTCCACGGTTTGGTCCAGTGAAGCTTGTCGTCGTAGCACGTCTCTTCTGGTTCAGACCAAAGGCCACCCATTTCCCTAGCTGAAAAATATATGGTTATCACTTTGAAGTGATGACCTAACTTTTGCAAATTGAGATTTCTCGGCCACCAAATAAAAATTGCCTAGAAATGGCCTCTGATGCGTTTTCTAGGTCATTTTGCAGTGGTGGCCTAGAAAAATCAGTTTTCAATGATCTAGAAAACACACCATGGCCTAGAAATGGTTTTTTTTAGATCATTTTCAAATGGTGGCCTANCAAGGTTAATGAGGCGGGACGTGGGAATGCTACTATTCGCCCAGAGATGTTTGCCCCTAACCATTCATTTGTTCACAGATGCAGTTTCACAAATGGAACCACGATTTACAATTGTGAGTCATAAAACGAATTTTGAAAGACGGAGTTTTTTTTAAATTTTCAAGAACCAAAAGTAAAAAAAAAAAAATCAAATCCGTTTTTCCTTTTAACACAATAATTTCTTTCATACCGTACCGGGCGATAAGATGTACAAAAACGGATTGTCAAATGATTTGTGACCATCGTGAACATTTTAAGGGCTTTCCACGTTTTCAGTACAAAAACAAGTCAAAAAAGAGTGTTTTTGAGCAAATATTCAATTCGCTGGAAAACTAAGTATTTTCAAAAAATTAAGTGAACGCAAATGTGTCAGTCTGGGTCTGTTTCACAGTCT